TTTTCTTATCAGACAAGAAGCATATGACATCATAGGATACTTGTTTCACACTGGTTTGATTTTTTAAAGTGGTGATAGAAATGAGTCATCACATGACAGTTGAGAGCAAAAACGTGATGAACACAAAAGAATTGTCCTTTAACACATGTACCTCACTCACATTTAGAGGGTCTAATTAGTTTCACCAGCCAACATCATCCATCACATTAAAGTAATGCCCATTTGAATTGTATTGTACTGTTGCCTTTTCTAGATTTAATTTATAATTTTGTTTTGGCTTTATAATTGTATAGGAACCAATAAGTATAAAGATTATAGCTCTGGTTTCATATTTATTCATCATTTAAAGCACATACAAAATAGGGATGTGTTAGTCCTTGGATCACAGAATCTTTTCTCCCTTAAAAAAAGACCCATATTGTATGGAAGTTTAGAAAAACCTTGATCTAGAGCACAGTTGGACTTTTTAGGGCTGCAAGTATCAGAAAGACCTCAATCTCCTCTCTCCAGATGTGAGGCTAATCCCTCTCACTGGTTATTCTACCTCTGGTCAGTCATGCTCATTCCCTCTCACCTCCTGCAGTTCCATGCTTGCATCATAAATCCCAAAGGTAGTTAAATTCTCTTCCTGTTGCTATGAGCTAGGTGCTGGGCACACAGTAAGATGACAGGTGCTGTTACTTTCAACCATTTTAACACCATCTTCACCACAATCTAATATCTTCTGTATCAACAGTATTCTTAGTTGCAAAGTATCCAAGGTACAGCCTTTCTCTGAGACAGGAGTTCCAGATGTGAAAGATGAACCCCTTTGTTCAAGGTCACATGGATAACAACATCAGATACCTGAACTCAAGCCCCACTTTTTAACCCTTTTTCCTTAAATGACAGCTTCTGCTTCCTATAATCAGAGCATCTGTGTCTCCATTCCACTATCTATCCTGTCTCCCTGCCTCCCATCAAGTTTTCTAAGGTTTTCTTTTTGTGGACCTGCTTCTCAGTGGGAGGACCACAAATCAGAACAATGTTCTTATACTGGCAGCCCCTTCCTTTGTCATTGAGGTGTGATGCTGCAAGAGCAAACCTCAAGTCTGCAGCATGTGCAGCCCCAGTTGTTGGCAATAATGTGATTCAAGTCCAGAGAGAGCTCAGAGCCTCCAGGTCAGGTCAGGCAAATAGTCATGTTCATATGTTTGAGAAAAGTCACATTACAGATTAGGGAAGATGAACACTGTGTTTCTTTCCTTCTAATAGCATTCCCTGGCAGGTGGGGCCAAGATGGTGCTCTTGCTGAGTGACCTGATCCGTGGTGCCCGGCTCCCCTGCAAATGCCCATCTGCCATCTGGACACAGAGCCACAGCATCCTCTGGGCATTCCTCCACACTCCCCCCTTCTGTGTTTTGGCTATTGCTAATCCTTGACCCAGGGAAATCCTTTCAAGAGCTAGGGGATCCAATCCTTGCAAGACCTGGGGGACCCTCGGGCTTAACATTTTCAGCATCTGCAGTGGTAGCACGCACCCTTCCCCACAGCTAGCCAAGGGCTTGTCCTGTCTCTGTAACCCAGGCTGTTCAAATGTCTGGTGGATTGTTTCCACCTCTGCATTTTTCTCCAGTCAATGCACCTGTTAAAGATAGCTAAAAATCAATACTTTGAGCTCGTCAGTCTTGGGTGGATTTTTTTCCTGAATAATACTTTGCATCCAGATAGCACTTTTTCCCAGAGCTTTCTCAGACAAGTTGTTATCTTCATCCTCACTTATTAGATGAGAAAATGGATGAGCAGGGAAGTGATAGCTTTGTCTGATAATAATACACCGAGTGCAGGGTGGATTTTCCCAAGAACTGTGGTGTAAGTAAAACATGTCTATCACAAGTTACAACTGCCAGAACTGAGAGCCCAGGGCTTGGGGCTGTGTACTGGTGGGTTAAATGGGTGAACTGAAATAGTACCCACTATCTGAGTATTGCTGACAGACAATGGCAGATGCCCAGTAAAACTTTGTTGTGTGAATATTTGACAACATGTTGTCACATCTACTATTTCACTTCATCCTGTAACAGCTCTGTGTGGGAAAGTGGAACAGGTATAATTAATCCCAATTTATAGAGAAAAAAAAATGAGGGGCCAGTAAAGGACTCAATTTTACATAGCCCAGGGCAAAACAAATGTTTCCAAATACAAAACCTATACCCTTAGAATTTGGAATCAGATTAGAGACCTGATCCAATTATTTACTAGCTGTATCATTTGGGCAAAAGTTTCAGTGGCAGTAAGTATTAATAATAATAAAACTATTTTTGGACTTTTGCTGAAAATTGGAGATAACTTCTGTAAAAGATCTAGCATAATGCCTGGTTTAGAATAGAGGACTAATGCATGGTTGTTATAATTCATTTTATTCTAAACCACCTCCAGATGTGATCCTTCATATTAAAAATCTGTTTTCAGGTAGGGGGAATGAAGTGCAAGAGAGATATAAATGAAACCTTTCAAACAGAACTCATAAATGATGTCACATCCCAGAGCAAGAGAGGCTGGGGCAATGGGAAGGTTGGGAAGGGGGTTCCAGTATAGGAGGTCTTGGGCCACATGGGGCACCCTTTGGCAATTCCCCTTTGTTGAACCCTCCAATCAACCTCTGCCTGCTCTGTAGTTTCTCTTGTAATGCATGGCTTTCCAGTGCTGTACCACACCTGAGACTCACATAGGTTCCCCTTACTCAACAATTTTACTTCACATCTTACTCAGTAGTCAACAGTATCAGCTTTTCAGTCTGACATTCCAGTGTGCTGATGAAGTTGGTGATCCCCAAGATCCATCAACAGCTGGAGCTGTACTGGTGTTGGGACTACAAAGAAGGTAGCGGGGGCCTCCCTGGTGGCTCGAGGGGTGAAGACGCAACCTATGAAGCAATCCGCAGCCTCTGCAGCACGAGTTCAATTCCCACTGGCCAGGGAACAACCCACATGGTGCAGCAGACCTCTCCTGTCTTGCCAGCTGCTCCCCTCAGCAGTGTATTTCAGTCAATCTGCCTGTTCTGTTCCTCACTCTGTCTCTGGTGAATCCTCTCACCCACCGCGTCTCTGGCCTGTAGCCCAGCTCTTGTATGCATAAATAAATAAATCTTTAAAAAATAAAAAGATGGCAGTGATTCTGTTGATGGCCTTGAGAAGCTGGCACTTAGATGGGGAGAGAGATGAGCCAATCAATATTCAAGGATAACTTCTACTGTAGGTAATTGGTACTGATAAAGCTTTGTGAAAGAGATTATTTGGAGCTGCTCTTAATAGATACTATTAATGAGTTCAGATTCTGTTCTATATATATTACAAAGATTATCTAATTTGATCTTGACTACAACCCTGGAATGACTATTCCTATTGTACCATTGAGGAAATTGGGACTTAAGGAAGCTAAATAGCTTTTCCAGGTTAGACAGCTGGACTGCAGCAAAACAGAGTCAAACGCAGACTTATCCTTTCTTTTTATGAAAGGATGAGAAATGACAGAGGGGAACAGCACATAGTTTTAAGCCCAAGAGCATAACTTGGGGAGAGAAACCCATAATAATATTAACAATCAACTCAGGGAACTCTCTGTACATTCCATTCATGTTTCTTTGGAGAAACATGAGTTTCACATAGAACCTCTACAAGTTGATTCTTTCCCACCATGTTCCCCAAAAGCAAAGATGCTGGAATCACTCAGCTGTGTACAAATCTCAGTCCCACCACTCACAGCAGCAGCCAATCAGTTAATCCCCTTGTGCCTCAGTTTCTCCATCTGTGAAATAAAAACAGTGCCTTCCTCACCGAACTACTGTAATAATTCAATGATTTCCTAATGTAAACCACTCAACACTGGCAAGTGATAAATGCTCAATACAGTGCCTCTTATTGTAATTACCATCATCATTACTATCTGCAGGAACCCCCATGTTCAACCACCTTGGCATTATTTCCTAAGCACACCTTACACTTTCTATGCTCCACCTTTTGCTCAGTGTTCCCTTCAATTAAATTGCCCTTCTGTCTCATAGTTTTGCTTTATTCCAATAGACTTGTATTTATTGTTATCATATGTAGCCTGCGCACTCAATCAGTCCCCAATAATGCTAATCAATAATGAAATATATGCTATCAATACTACTAAACATATGTGCACTAGAGTTTATCAAACTCTATTAATGGTACATAACACAAACATACAAAAATCAGATTCTTATAATGTAACAGATTGTTTGAAAGATACTGAAGTACTTCCTGAAACAAAGGAAATTTATTTATTTTTTCTTTTCTTTTTTTAAAGACTTATTTATTTATGCATACAAGAACTGGGGTGTGGGCCAGAGGTGTAGGGAGATAGGAGGATTCACCAGAGACAGAGTGCGGAGCAGAACAGGAAGATATACTGAAATACACTGCTGAGGGGAACAGAGGGGGAGACAAGAGAGTTCTGCTGTGCCCAGTGGCTGCCATTAGGTTCATAGTGCCGAGACTTAACCCTTTGCACCACAAGGGAGGTCCCACAAAGGAAATGTAGTAAGAACAGGGTGTGTACCTCATGTTCTAAGCCTTTGAATATGAGTAATCAATTTACAGAATGTGTAGCTTTTCTGCACCATCTTCTCTGCAAAAGAAGATGTTAGCTTTGATTGGTAATGATAACACTTTGAGTTTGAACTTATAATTAATAACACTAACATTAACTTGAATTCGAATTTTTCAAAACAGCCTTCCTGGTGTCATTGTTCATGCTTTCAAATTTCTCAGGAGCTTGGGCTCAAGTGACTTCAGGGCTGAGTCCAGGTGAGGTGTGGGCAGCAGCTTGGGGTAGGATACACAACAGGCAAATGTATCTGCAATTTTGAGGGGCTCACATGTCATCTAAAGGACTTCCAGCATCTCAAGAGCCCCTGGTTGGGAGACCCCTGGACTAAATGATATTGTGGGTCCCCTTTAATTCCAATATTATGACGAAAAAAAGACATGCTTACCTCAGAATATAGATATCTTAATGTTCAAATCCCTGTTTCTTTTAACAAGGGTTTCCTTCAAAACAAAACAAAACAAAACGAATGGGGAATGTGGGATGTGTAAGTGGCCAAACTCAAAATTCTGGTTGGACACCAATGGTCAGGGTAGGTAGGACTGCTTAAGAAGAAAGCAGTCTTGGGTCTGGGAGTAGTTTCTGGATAGAAACCTCACCGGAGCAGGTTCTGGGCAAAGAGAAGAAACTGGAGATTGCATAGTAGCCATTAAATTCTGGCTGGCGCAGAGGAGGCAGGAGGGCCTGGTTGGGGACCATCCCTGTCCTGTCTAGGCTCTCTCCCTCTAAATATTGGAAATGGGAAGGGAAGCCAATGCAGAGTGTCCTCCATCCTCACTCCTGTCTTCAGAAGAGGAACATCACTGGAGGTGTTTCCTTGGGAAAGGCTGAGCAAGTTATGACTTCGCAGAGACCATGCTCTCACTTGCGCTCCCTGAGATCACTGCACTGCTTGTCTCATAATGGATGTGCGTTTCTTTCCCTCCAGCCCCAGGGTAAAGGCCTGCAGCTCCTCTGGGGCACCTCTCAGAAGTCATGACAACTAGAATATGGGCTCAGGGGGCCAGGGGAAGGAGAGGTGAGTCATCATGAGAGCAGAGAAAGGATGATGTGCAGCACTGGGCAACCTTGGTGCTGAATACAAACATTCTCTGGCAGCTTCTGATTGATCAAAGGTTTCCCCAGAGATTCTAGCCATGGCTGGAACTCACTGTGCCAAAGGACTTTAGAGTGGTCGATGGAGACACTGTGTTCCATGCACCGTGATTTCTGCCTGATGCAAGTCTATTACAAAAACAGCTAGGTTTATCATTCTGCTAAACACTGGGTGTGATTGCAAGAGACCCTCAGCCAACATGCTGAAACACACCAGCTCCACAGGCTCTAAGATGTACTGCTGTTCAGCTGCGTGGCTCTTGCTCCAGGATCGATGCTGTGGGCAATGGGAATAGTATTCCCATAGCAATTCAGGCAGCTTGCAAGTAGGGAAACTTTCAAGAGGCAAACAAGGTTATCTGTAACTTTTATAAAGTGCTAGCGACAATCTGCCCAGGTGGTAACCATCGCTTTTAAACACTTAGGAACACCTTTACTCCATTGGGGGATGCCTTGATGGTTCCCAGGGCTGAGAGAACTGAAAAGGAGAACATTGACTTTTCATCTCCAATTTATTTGCTTGTTTGATTCAGCCAATAGCTATGCAGTATCTTATGCATTGAGAACCATTCTCAGACATTGTGAACCCAAAGAAAATAAGATCTGCTCTCTTCTTTAAACTTGAGGCATCACTGTTATTGGGGAAAAGATGGAACAGCACATAAATAATCACAAAAACAACTCAGAAGCTCACACAGTGTGTTTGGAACACTTCATGCTTTATTTAATTTGACATTCATAGCAAGTTTATGAGGTATTTAGGAAAATATTGTGTTGATGTCCATCAGGCAAAGACCACTGGGGACACACTTGGAATGAATGAAGTTATGTTATCATTTGCTGCAATAAGGGAAACTATATGCCTTGGAGACTTGCAGGGTTGGGAGATGTGTTTCTCCAAAGGGGAGAGCCAGGGAAGAATTCCTCACAGGGTTTTGGGAGTTACAGTCAGTCACAGGATGGGCTTGGCAGGAATAAACTAGAGAGTTTCTGGCCTTGACCTTGATTTAAATACATGGGCTTAAATGCAAGTTCATGTCCTTGGATTTAGAACACATAAGTCAGTTAGGTCAGTTTGTATGTGGTCTTTTCTTTGAACTCACGGATCTGAATAGACTGTTGTTGAAAGAGCTGAAGCTTAACTAGTTTGTGATGAGTACCAGGGTCTTGATTTGTTTTTGAGTATCTGTTTTGCCAAATCATAGTGAGCTTGTCTTGAAAATTTCTTTGTTCGATTCTCAATATCCTTTCTCCACAGTTGAGCTGCCAGTAAGATGCTTTTTCTCTTTGTCAGTGTCACAAGTGAAGATACTCAGAAGCTGGACTTTGCAAATCTATATCTCAGAAAGTCCTGCAAAGACCCCACAGACCCATATCTCTTGACTCCAAATGGCACTGAAGCAGATTCCCTTGACCAGGGCTATTTGTAATTTCAAAATAACGTCTTTCTTGTTTCAGACTTATTTGACTGCATTTCTTCATTGTCTCCCCAACTGTCTGAGCAGGGAATACTTACAAACTTGTAGAAAGGTACTGAGTGTGTGACCTTCTGGAGCAATCTTCCCAACTTCAAATCCAGGGGCAATCTTTTTTCAGATGAGTGGCCTGAGGCATAGTACCGGCTTCTCTGCACCCTGGTATTTCCTCAACTTTAAAATGGGAGCGATATTAATACCTCTGTCACAGGGTTATTGTCAGGGTTAAATGAGATAGTACAAAGTGCTTAAAGGCTTGCCTGCCACACAGAAAGTGCCCCATTACAAAGCTTATTATTCTTATTCTCTTGTCTCCCTTTAGCAGTAAGACCAGTGCCCCCAAATCTTGATCTGAGATCTGGAGACCTTGTTAAAATGTGGATTCTGGTTCTGCAGGTCTGAGATTGGACCTGAGATGCTATGGTTCTGGGGAGTTCTGGGTGAGGCCTGTGGGAAGGCATCTAGCACAGCATTGTGGTTCTTAGCATCAGGGTTTCCTGAAAAATGGCTGAAAAGCAAATGTCAATCTGCCCATCCCAGACTCTGTGGATGCACGCTGGGCTGGTGCCAGCTGTCTCTGTGTGAATAAGTCCTCCAGGATCTGTCCTTACTGCTGACAGAGAGCCTTCGTAGGGAGGAGAGGATAATGACTGAGGGTCAACACTTGGATTGTTCCTGGATTTGCTACTTTATGTTGTGTGGTCTTAGACAGGTCACCACACTCTCTTAGCTTAGTATCAACACCCTGAAATATTTCCTTCTTCTAAAGGCCCTAAGTTAAAACTGGGCAGTGGTGTTTTATCTCCTTGGGCTCTAATGCACTGTGACAGTAGGTAGTTGTGAGGTTATGATGAGACAAAATAACATTTGGAAACTGTAAGATAACACACAATCATAAAATTATGGTGTGACATAATCATCAAAATGATTTGATGAATGATTAATTGAAGAGGTAATTTATCACATATGTAACTAATACACGTTTGGAAAGCCCAGACTGTTTCTTCACAAAAAGTGCTTTTTTTTTATTAGGAATTCTTCCAAGTTTCCATACTAGCTTTAGACATTTCCATCCTTCCTTAGTGCGTGTCTGATCATGATTATCTAATGAAGTGCTAAGATGTTTTATTTTAGCACTATGAATAGATTAATGAGGTAAACCATTACACAGGTAAAATGGCCCATTGATTCCAGGGTACAAGTACCTCTTAAGGAATATTTCCCTACTTTTTAAACTCTGATACATGGTTGAGGATTTGCTGAGTCACCCAAAGTTGATGGGGGGTAGCAGTTCTTACCTTAACTAATCTGACTCTAACGACACCCTCACCAGCTGGCACTGTCTATAATTAGGCAAACTTCCTTATGATATGACTCAGTCACTCCCACCTCAATCAAGAAATATTAATTGAGAAGGTTTATGGGAGTTTTATTTTTGTGTGTGTTCAGCAAATACAAAAAAAAATTTAATAAGTATTGCTGAATGTGTATTAAGTTCCAGGGACAGTGGTTGTTACCAAGACTTTCGTACAACTTCCCCTTATCACAAAACTACCCACACAAATCCAAATATGTGCCTCCTTGACACACCACACCTTTTATACTTAAGAAAAATGTTCAAATATGACCATCGCAGATAAACTTAACTAAATATCCTAAATCTAAGAATCCCAGCAGAGGCAGACTATTCTGATGGGAATGACCTTGAATCGATCATCAGTCAGGAGGAGACCCATGTTCTCATCCCAAGACTGCCAACCAGCTCCATGACCTGCCTTGGCCTGTTGCCTTCTAAGCTTCATTTCCATTTTCTGCAAAGTGTGAATTTTGAGATGACCTTAGAAAGCCTCCTCTATTGCTAACCTTCTGTTTGGGGTGGATGTATGTGACCCAGGGGAAGTAGCAGTGCATCGTTCCTATGTCACTTTCCCTTGCACTTGCACTTGCTCACCTCTCCTTTCCCCTCATTGATACTAGATGTATAGCATCTAGTAGATTTTGCAGCCCAGGCTGCTTCTGAAACACCTTCACAGGTTGTAGCCTCAAGGAGTCCTCACTTTGCAAAGGCAGCTGGCATCCAGCCAACTCTATTTCTAGCAAACCCAAGAAACCAACATTTGTTCCTGCTAGGCATTTCCTCTGCTTTGCCTTAGAATTAAGCCTTCTGGTCTAATGGGTTCATAGACCTATCATGAGCTGAGACAGATCCTGAGTATTGTCCTGCTGCCATTTTCAGGGAAAAGTGTCAGTCCCACAAATAGAGCTGACCTATAAGGGGAAAGAAAATAGGAGGGACAAGTGTGTTGAACTCCATCTCAGAAAGACACTCCCTCCTGTTGACAGAGCTGGCTGTTGGTGAAATTTTCAATGGCAAAACTAGTGTCCAGATATGGAATCACATCATGTCTGTCTAGAAGTTCTCACATAACTTCCTTCCCCTTATGAGAAAACCAAAGCCTTGAGATGGGAAGAGATATCCCCAAGGTCATCGTCCTATACCCCAAGGTCGTTTCTCCATCTCCCAGTACTCTAGGAGTTTGAATTCCAAGTGCAGAGAGGAAATGTGGACACATCAGACACTGCAGACAAGGACAGATGTTAGAAAAGCTTTACTCCACGATATCTTTGCTAAGAAGCTGATGCATCGTTACAAGGTTGGCAGCGTAAAAAAATTATCAGACACAAACACTGAACTTTAATGGGGACAAGTGCTATGGAGAACATTAAGGGAAAACTGCCCAAATGTAACATGCTACAGAAATATTATACACAATAGAATTTTCTGGCTTGTTATGTGCACATACAGCAGAGAAATGTTATAGTCTTAGGGGTCTGGAAACGGAACATGAGTCAGCAGCAAGGCGATATTGTTTAGTAAAGCAAGAATGGATTTCAGAAACAGACAGAGGCATAGAATATTATACTCAGCACATTTGAGTGTTCTCACGCTCTTTTATTATTCTCTAATTTTATCTTGTGTCTATCTTGTCTCCCCAATCATATTAAAGGCTCCCAAAGGACAGGCTACGTTTGATTCTTCCCCTGTATCTTTTTA